AAGCCCTAGTTGACGACTTGGCACTGTCAACCACAACTAAATTCAAGCAGTGATTAGCACAAGGCACATACAGAGCTTTCGGATTTGTTTGTAGAATTCGTGACTGAACACCAGAATTCTTCTCTTTCATATTAAAACCATTATCATACGACTGGTCCCGACAGTCTAACATATTCAGTTTTAACTCCTTTGCTCGCTCTAAAAATGTGTCAAAAAGCCCTTTTCCTGAGCTGTCACTAACTTGAAGGTATCCAAAAAAAGCTTCCTTTATTGTGACTTCATTACCTGTATCACATTCAACAAAACGCAAAATGAAAGTTAACTGCTCTTGGTTAGAAACATCTGGAGTAAAATCCAGAATTATCGCATAGTACTTAGATATCATTAGTTTTTTCAGGTTTTCTTTTTCTACTTCTTTTGCAATAAGTTGAATTAACTCATTCTGGATTTTGTTGCTGAGGTAGTGATCATGTGTTTGTTTTTTTTCAATCCTTTTCTGTAGCTCGTTCAGTACAGGATCTCTTTTTGCTAATAGCTCAAACAGACCCAAAAAGTTTCCATTGTATGGTGAGCCAAATACTTAATCGGAACCTCTAAATGCTAAATTTTTTTCTGACAGGAACTTTATAATGTCAATAAGACGCTCCAGGACATCCCTCCAAAATTGCCTTTCTTTAAGAAAAAGCTGCATTTCTTGTTTATCTATGGATGAATCATTATTGATACCCTCTTTAAGCTGCATCCATTGTCTAAAACACTTTTGATGGGATGTTCCTGTTTCATGGTCTTTTAACTTCTTTGATAGTCCCTCCCATGTACTAGTACCACTACAAAACGGACTTTCATTTGTTTCAAAAAGTTTACAGCAAAAACAAAAAATCTTGTCAGATTTTACCGAATACACAAGCCATGAGCGAGGCACAGTTTCTCCATTATTCATCACAAGCTTGTAATGAACCGTTGAAAATCGACGCCTTGCAGCAATATTGTATGGAAAGTCAATATCAACCTGTTGAGGACCACGTTTGACTAGGTCACATCGTTGAGCATCAGAAATTTGTTCAGGCCAGCTGGCTAGGTCACAAGCAACGGAACTAAACGGTGGCAATGGTAGAGTGTACAACTTTTCTATTGTGTTAGGTTGATTATTCGCAATATCTAACTGTTCATGAATGACCACTTCATTAGAGCAAATTTTTTCATTGCTGGTGCAATTACTTGGAATAGGTGTAAAGAATGATGTAACTTTGGGAAGTTTGCTAATTGCATCTTTTGTTGCTGCTGCCTCTTTTCTTTTAGTTGCACCTGACTTTGAAGGCTTCATTATCTAAAATGAAAAATAGATTTATATTCATAGACTGTAATACAATATTTTATTATAAATAAGGTTTGGGTTTAAAAAAAAAAAAAGATTTTTTTTGTATGCACTTTGCATGCACTCTAGTATGCGCGTGCAAATTATGCACAAGTATTTTTAAATACTTAACACAATGTTAACAACAGATAATTTTACATTTTTTTACAAAATTTTTATAATAAATTCTTATGTTATTCGAAAAGAATGTGTATTAGGAAATCCATTTAAATATTATGTAAAAAATATATTCTTATTAATGTTATAATCTAGTAATGAAAAAGCAAAAAGTATCATTTATTGCTGATAAAACTTAACCACTAAAATGTAGCTTATATATTATTTACAAACTATATAAACAAATTAATTTATGCTTACTTAAAAGTGTTTTTATGTAGACAACTGGAATCGTTTCTACAAATACAATACAATTAAAATCCTTGTATCTAAATACAAATAAATCCTTGCTACTAAATACAATTAAAAAATCCGTAAAAAACTAGAGTTTGAAAAATGTGAATCAAATAATAATTTGGAGTTTTGTATACAAAAGTTTAACTAAAATTAAGTATAGATTAACTTAGCAATACAATAGCATATTTCTCAATAGGTTTAGCATAAACAAAAGCGAAACATTCTAAACAAAAGTTTAACTAATTTAAAACGTCCATTAACTCAGCAAATACAATATCATTTTCGTTAGGTTAGGCGAATTTAAAAAAATTAGAAAACGTTAATAGGTTTTAACATTATATTAAAAAAAAACCACTTATGTCATAATTTTAATTTAGTCATCATCTCAAAAAAAATTTGCATACTGCATAGAAGGGCCTCTTTAAATTCACGGGCCTTCCCCAACCGGGGGGTTTGGGGGACTCTAGGCACGGCACTGCCCGTGTGGGTTTAATAATAATTGGTAAAATACAATGTTGAAACATGTTATCAAAAATAATTTAGTAATCGGAAACTCATTGTATTTTAAACAATTTATGTTGAGGTCCCCAATACAGAATAACTTTTTTTGTTCTTTATTGATTTTGAGAAAAATTTCTTCTAGATAATTAGAAAAAATTTTAATATTACCTTCAGGTGGTCTATAACAGGTAGAAACAATAATTTTTTAAACTTGGAGTTTATGATTTCTATTGTAAAGACCTTACTATCGGCGTTAGAAATAGAGTGGTTTTTTTATTACTTTTATTGCTTGATCATTCCGAAAATAAATTGCAATCCCTCCTCCTTTTTTGCTTGTTTTTCTTTCAGAAGATATTAATTTATAATTGGGAATTTGAAAGTTAGTGTTATTTTGGATTGATTCGTCAGAACACCAAGTTTCTGTTAGACAAATCATACTGAATAAGTAATTACAATCAATTAGGAAGTGCTTAAGTTTGTCAAAATTTTTATTTATGCTTCTTATATTTATGTGAATTACAGTAAAATTATTTTTAATAGTTTCAAGTTCAGTTTTAAAAGTTTCAGTTTTAACATATCGAGAATCAAAATTATTCATTTGAAAAATAGGCGTATCAGCGTCAATGAATATATTATTAGCAGTTTCGAAAACATTAAAGCGCATTGATTCAAAATCTATTGTTTTGTTGATCATTGTTTTAAAATTTAAAATTGAAAACGCGTTTACTTCGTTAAAAAATAGTGTTTTGAAAATGTCTTTAACAGTTTTTTCGCAATCTTCTCAACTTTCGCCTGGTGTTTCTTGTAGCCCATCAATTCTTAAGTTGTTCCTTTTTGATCTATTTTCTAGATCTATAGATTTTTTATATAATGAATTGATTTCTTTGTCATAGTATTTTTTTATTTGTGATATTTTTTCCGAGATATCATTTTCTTGAAAATTTAGGCTTTAATGTCGCATAAGTCTTTTTCTATATTTGATATTTTACATTTGTTGTTATTAATGTCTTTCTTTAGCATGTCCAATCTATCTGTAATAATTTTGAGATTTGCACTGATAATTGAGGTAAATGATATTTGCACTGATAATTGAGGTAAATCTTATGAGCTTTCCTTTGAGGAATTCGAAAAATCTATTAAAATGCCTAAAATAAATCCGTTGGTCACGATGGAATTAACAGTAATGTTGTCATCGACTCATATGAACCCTTAAAAGATGTACTATTTAAAGTTTTTCATTGTTCAATAAAACAGGGAGTATTTCCAAATCATTTAAAAATAGCTAAAGTCACTCCAATTTTTAAGATAGGCAATCCAACCAATGTTAGAAATTATCGCCCAATTTCTGTTCTTTCTATTTTTTCTAAAGTTTTAGAAAGAATTATATATCACGTTATTTATAATCACCTTTCCTTAAATAATATACTATATATCAATCAATACGGATTCAAAAACAATAACTCCACAGAAACGCAATACTTCAAATTACTCGTAGTATAGCTGAATCTTTTGAGAAGTCCCAATATACGTTGGGAATATTCATTGATTTATCAAAAGCGTTTGACACTATTGATCATCAAATTCTCCTTAAAAAAAAAGATTATGATTGAATTAGAGGGAATGTTTTAATGATACTTTAAAGCTATTTAAAAAACTGTAAATAGTTTGTTTATAGTAATGAAACTGGTACGACTAATTTATTAAATATAACCTGTGGAGTTCCCCAGGGCCCTATACTCGGACCACTTCTTTTTTTAAATCTACATCAATAATCTCCCTAAAGCGTCAAACTTAATGAATGCCATGTTTGCTGATGACACTAATTTTTTTTTTTTTATCGCAAAAAAGTATTCTAACAATATTTCAAACTATGAAAATTAAATTAGCGAAAATTTGTGAATGGTTCAAAATTAATAAATTGCCACTAAATATGGATAAAACAAAATGGTCACCCTTCCTTACAACTTCTAAAAAGAAACTACTGCCTCCCAACTTGCCTTACTTTTTATAGACAAAATCCAAACAAAAAGAGAAATAAATACTAACTTTTTAGGTGTCTATGTTGATGAAAACCTTAGCTGGAAATATCACATTCGTTTTTTTGTACAACAAAGTTTTAAAAAATGTATAGAAATAATCTATAAGGCTAAAAATGCTTTAAATAAACAAAGTTTAATTAAAGCATTTCTAGCCTTATAATTTCTTTTATCCATTGTGATTAAAACTATGCAAATATTGCTCGGTGTAGTGCCAATAAAAATAAACTGGAACCTCTTCATCGTCAGCAGAAGCATGTTGCTCGTCTTATCAATTTTAAAGACAGATTTAGTCATGCCAAGCCTCTTTTATCTGAAATGAAGGTTTTTAATATATATCAGCTAAATGCTTTTATTGCTTTTTGTTTTTTGTACAAATTTTTCTTTCCATAATTTATACATCTTGAAAGATAAAAATAAATATTACTTGAGAAATGACAATTTAGTTCAGCAACTTTTTTATCAAACTTATTTTGGGAAAAACAAAGATTGCATTTTGCGGAGCTTTTCTTTGGAATAAAATAAAACATTTTCTCTTTGGAACAAAATAAAACATTTTCTCTTTGGAACAAAATAAAACATTTTCTCTTTGGAACAAAATAAAACATTTTCATTTTTATCTTTAATGGAGTTACCTCTCATTCAGTGGCGTAGCTAGGATTTTTGGGCCCTGAGGCTAAAACCAGTGCAAGGGCCCCCCAACTAAAATGTTTCGAAAATAATTTTATAGGAATAATACAAAAATTTTGCTTCAAAAAATATATTTATAAAATACTAAATAAAATGTAAACTTCAGTAAATAAAGAGAGAAAAGGTATACCATATGCAATATTAAATATAAAACATTTTATAACCAACTCTTAAACGAAGAAATAATGAATCTCACATGTTTTAATTATTTTAAAATTTTTCCTTCTAGCTTTAGCATTTGCAAAACTGCATATTAATTCTTTAAGATCCATTTGTGCTGCTTCTTTGTGTTCAATAGCTAGTATCGCTAGTTCTTTTAACCTACTCTGATCAATAGAATTTATTTTATAGTCCTTTATTTTTAATTTGCTAAAAGATCTTTCAACGCTAGCCACAGTTACTGGTAGAGTAAAGAACAACATTAGAACTGTATATATTTCTGAAAACTCACTTTCTAAGCAACTGTACTTAGTAAGGAGTAAATTTGAAAATTGCTTAATCGACATTTTTGAAGTTAAGTCTGTTTTCAACAATGAAACTGCTTGCAGAAATTGATTACCAAAAATAACTTTCGAATATATTTTGGAAACATTTTCACACATTTCTAAGATATCTGTATCAGGCAAATTTATTATGTTTTTAGGTTCTAAGAAGCAAAAAAGGTTTTTCACGGTTTGCATTCCCAAAAAACGTTGTTCAATTTGTACGCTGATTTTGTCCAATACAAAATAAAAAACATTCATTTTAAACAATTGCTCTTTGTTCTGAAACCGATGATCTGAAGCCAATTCATCAAAATGTTGCTTTTTCACTGGTTGCCTTTTTGATTGAAAATTAGTTTCGATGCCCCACTTTCGTGCCAGTTCTTCTGCTTCTAATTTGATATGTTCATATGAATTTCTAATGTAATTTAACTTTTCACGAACGTGTTTTAAAACTTTAGTAGCTTTCTCCAAGTCTATTTCTTGTTTTTGTAAAGTTTTTGAAGCATAATTAACCTCGCACATTACCTTAAATAAAAAAACACAGATAAAAACAAAATCGAATGTCCCCATTTTTTTCTTTATTTGAATTGCTTCTTCTCTTTTTTCTTTTTTGGTCGATTTAAGGATTATTTCAGTCAAAGCCTTTAAAATATCCATAAATCGAACTTTTACAGCTGTTAATGATTGTAGTCTACCAGACCATCGAGTTGGATTTAGTTTTTTCAATGTAACTTCAGACTCCCCAGTAAATATAGAGAGGAGGTCCCATCTTTTTATGCTATTTCCAAAAAACAAATAAATATTTTGAAGAGTAGCATAAAATGATAAGATATCATGCGAACCATTTACGCAGTCATTAATTACCAAATTTAAATTATGACTGTTACAGTGTACATACTCAGCATTTGGTTGGATTTGTTTAATCCTGGTTTGTACACCACTGTAAACTCCACTCATAACGTTAGCACCATCGTAACCTTGCCAATAACACTTTTCAATTAGAATATGTGCTTCTTTCAATAACGTCAATACTTGATTAGACATTCCCTCTGCTGAATGGTTCTTCAATTCATAAAATCCTAAAAATGTTTCCTTAATTTTAAAATGAGTTGGTTCTTGATTTACATTTCTAACAATGTGAACATGCCGTAATATAACACTTAATTGGTCTCTCTTGGTAATGTCTTGTGTTGTGTCTAACATTAGGGCATAAAATGGTGATGAATTAATATTTGCAATCAAGTCATTCAATACCTTTTTTCCCAGGCAATGTATTAGTTCATTCTGTGTGGTCGGACTTAAGTATCGGATTGAACCAGATGGCATTTCTAAAATTTGTTTCATGACACTGTCGTAGTTAGAAAGTAATTGAACTTGTGATAAAAAGTTTCCATTATAATCCTCAGTAAATCCTTCGAGGTGACCACGAAATGTCAAAGAATTTTTTGATAACATAAGTGTTATGCGGAATAATCGTTCTAGCAGGCCCGTGCGGTAGATTTTCTCATTATGAGGCAAATCTTCGAAATGCCGCCCCTTAAATGTTTTTCTTTAAAATAACCTTCGATTGTGATTTTAAAAAAAACTGCACAAAATGTACGAATTCTACTTTTTATTTTGAAATTTTAAAATAATGATTTCAACTATAAACTACAACAATGTACAGTATTACAGCTTTACTCTTCTAACTTTAACTTTAGCAAATTCGTTAATTACTTATGTGTAGTCTAGAGTGCTAGCCATTGCAGATTCAATAGAAATTAATGCCAGATTTTTAAGTTTTGTTTGTCCTATTGAACTTCTTAAGTAGTTTTTTCTTAATTTTAATTTGGAGAAACTTCTTTCCCCACTAGCTACAGATACAGGGAGAGTTAATAAAATTCTCAGAGCTACAACAGTATTTGGATACAAACTAATTAAGCTATTTTGGCATAAATAATTTAAAACATCCAAAGGTTTCGTAGAATATGGTAGCATTCTGGATACATCACGCAATTCTTCTCTAAGGTCATTTGCATTTATATCTGTTTCATTTTCAACCGAAAGTATAAACTCAAGACTGGAACAATAATTTTCTAGCGTTTTGTCATCTATATCCTTGAGTTTTAAAATGTCATATAAGAACTGAAATTTTTTGCTATGGGTTTCCAGAAGCGTGAATTTATCATTCAGAGAATTAAGGGTAATGTCCAGAATATAGTTGAAAAAGTTTATTTTAAATTTTTTCTCCTTTGTTAAGGGTTCATCGACAGCTTTTTCATAGTCAAATTGACGCTTTTTTCTTCTGGGTCTAACTTCAGTGTCATCAGGAAATTTTGTACTGCATTCGAGATTCTCTGCTATCTCCTTTGCAGCAATTTTCATCTGAATATATTCAGATTGTCTATAACTTTTCACTTTTTTTATGGTTTCTGATAGCATCCTTACACAATCTAATATATTTATAGTAACAGATTGCAAAAGCTTCGAAACTGAATTAATTTCAAACAAAATATCATGCCAAAGAATTACTCCACATATAAACTTGTAATTTTTAATATTTTTTGCTAACCCTCTCGCTTTAACTTTAGTTTCTGCATCTCTATTGACGTCTTCTATTATCAGAATCAATGCATCATAGATTTCGCAAAGTTGAAATCGTAAAGGTTTTAAAGCATCTATTCTGCTTGCCCATGGGCAAAAAAAATATGTTTCTCAATTAACTCTGAAACCATTAAGTGCTACTAGGTGGGCCCACCTAGTAGCACTTAATGGTTTCAGAGTTAATTGAGAAACATATTTTTTTAGCACTTCCCAACGCTTTGTAGAACCAGAAAAAAAAGTGTAAAGTTCTTGTACAATAGAAAAAAAAAAAATGTTGTTTCTGTAGTAGAAGACGCTGCATCATTCACAACAAGGTTTAAAGAATGGCATGCGCAGGGCACATAAAAAGCCCTTGGATATTTTTCAAGTATTCTATTTTGAACACCCTTTCTTACTCCTTTCATATTGGCTCCGTTGTCATAGCCTTGTCCCCTAAGCCACTTTAACTCAAAACCTAATTTTTCCAAATGTGTTAGAATAAGTTTTGCCAAACCTTCTCCGGTTGAATCACTAGCTTTAAAAAAACCAATAAAGAATTCTGCAATTTCATATTTATTTTGAATGGAGTTAAAAGTAACAACTCTTATTGTTAAGGAGAGCTGTTCATAATGACTGACGTCGGGGGTAAAATCAGCGATTATAGAAAAATATTTAGCGATTTTTGTTATTTCGACAATTTTTCTTAAAATTGAATTTCCCATTAAATTTATCAATTCATCTTGTATATTATTGCTTAGATAAGTCACTGACCATTTATCAGACTCTCGTTGAACTCTCCTGATATGTTCTTCCATAACTGGATCAAACTCAGAAAGTAATTCTACCAACTTTTGGAAGTTCCCGTTATTAGGTTGAAACAAATGTTCAGTTGATCCACGAAAAGCTTAACATTGTGAGGCCAATAGTTTAATTATTGACATAATTCTTTTTATAACTCCTCTCCAATGCTGAAGTTCCATATCCATAATTCGTTGATATTCAGCGTATATATTTTTTTTCTGCTTCAATCGAATGTCCAATTCTTTCCATGCTCTAAAAGCATTTCTGTGATTTACAGACTTTTCGTGCATTGTGAGGGCTCTTATAAGATTTTTCCAGTCAGAATAGCCTTTTTTGGGCCAGTCACTAATATCAGACGAATTATCAAATAATATACAACAAAAGCAAAAAACGGCATCACTTGCAATAGAGTAAATAAGCCAACTTCTCTCAACGACTTCACCATTGCTCAACACTTTCGAATAATACGAGGGCAAAAATCTACGCTTTCCTTTATTAATAGGAAACTCGAATTCTTTAATTTGATGGGGACCCCTCTCAACCAGTAGTTGACGAGTTTGAGATGACATGCAGAAAGTAAGCCATAATGCAGGATCTGAAGAAATTTCTTTTAATACCTGCTGACTGCGACTGCTAATGCGGCCCGGTTCTTGATGAACTTCTGATGATGTTAATTTTTGGATCTCTTCAACAATTTTTTCTGGAATTGATTGGGGCGGCACTGTGTTTTTATTTGCCAAATCCAAGGCAGTCGCAGTTGACGTGGATGTGCTGCCCGGCTGTTCATTAAGATCTGATGGTGTTAGTATTTGGCTCTCTTCAACAACTTCTTCTAGAAGTGATTGGGGCGGCACTGTGTTTTTATTTGCCAAATCCAAGGCAGTCGCAGTTGACGTGGATGTGCTGCCCGGCTGTTCATTAAGATCTGATGGTGTTAGTATTTGGCTCTCTTCAACAACTTCTTCTAGAAGTGATTGGGGCGGCACTGTGTTGTTATTTGCAAAATCAGTTGCTGCTGATGTGGATGGCTCATCTAAACCGCACTTTTGTACTAAGAATTTCTTCATAACATTGCTGAGCTTTCTTTCTTGTTCCTTATTCTTTAAGCGTTTCTTTTTGTATTGACTTCCAGATAATTTTTTTCTTTTTTGTTCCATGCTGACGATTGCTGTCACTGCTGTAATAAATTTTTGTAAAAATTTTGTAAAATCTTTGTAATGTCATCATGTTTTTAACAGTTAAAAACATGATGACATTACAAAGTTAAAATTTAACTTGCAAAGACAGGCAAACACAAACGTTTAAAAACGTTTGAAAACAGTATTTTGAAACATAATAAGAAAATAGTCCACGCTAATATGCGTTTTAAAACGTTTTTATTCATATTGAAAGGAATAGCAAAAGCGAATGCTAAATGAGGGAGAAATTTTTTTTTTTATTTTTATAGAAAAATGTGGACAATGAAAAAACTTTTAAAGTGATAAAAACTTTCACGAGTTTGGTAGTAATTAAAATTTAAATGAGTCCAGTTTATGATTTAGTACCTAATTATTATTGCAACCCTGAAATTGCATTTTGATTTCGCTACTTTGCCGCCCCTTAATGGTGCCGCCTGAGGCGGCCGCCTCTTTGTATCATAGCACCGCACGGACCTGCCCATTTTGGCAGATGGTTCTAGAACGGTTCTAGAACCATCTGCCAAAATGATGCCCTATATCGTATTTCATCTTCAGCTTTTTTATCGATGGTTTTATTTTTCTTCCACAATTCGAGCACTGCACAGACTTCAATGTGATGTTGGGATGAACTGTGCATTTTTATCTTGTGTGATAAATTTTTCCAATCCTTTGTCCCCGATTACCATTGACTTTTGATGCTTGAAAAAAGCCAACAAGGTTGACAGTATACTGCGTCCAACATACTTGAATAACAAATCCATAATCGCGGAACTGGGCCATAGTTTGATGTAGAATAATAGTAAGTTTCACTGAAACTTCTGTTCTGTTGACTAGGATCTTTGGGAAATGGTCCTTTAGGTCTGTGACCACTTATCAGTAATCTTTTGGTTTCATCAGAAATGCTCTGATTTAAATATTTTCCTAGGTCACTACATATAGTGGTATTTGTATAAATGCTATTTTTTTCATTAATACCTGTTAAAACTTCCTGAGCATCTTCAGTGTCAACTATTTTATCTGAAATTTTTTAATTTCTCCATCGCTACAGTCTGCTTTAGTTGATTTACAAGCAATCACTTCTGTATAACCTTTCTCTAAAATATTTAACTCATCGTAACATTCACATTCGATCGATGCATCATCTGGAGTACTCTCTTGGTTATTATTATTATTTTTAATAATAAACTTGTTTAGCTTTGGTAATTTATTGAATGCTTCTTCTTTCTGTATTTTAAGTTTTTTTTTTTTTGAAACCCACTTTTACTCTTTAATAGTTCCATGTTTTCTTATAACATGGAAATGATCAGGATAAATTGTACAATTTTAAACTCCCTAAACAGAAAGCACTATATGGTTATTGCAATGCTTCAGATAATCTAAAGAAGAAAAACGGAAAACGTAAATTTATTAAGAGAAAGGGAGATATAAAAGAAAAGAAACAATAAATAGAAATTTTCTTTTTTGTATTTTTCTATTAGAAAAATACAATGGATATTTAAACAATGTTAAAAATCTCAGCAACTGTTACGAATACATATTTTTACGCTACACGTGCATGTTAATGTTAGCATTTCAAAACTGTTACTAACGGTCCGGAAAAAACGCGCGTTAACTTTAAAATCAACCAATGAAAACACTGGTAATTTACATATTAGGAGAAATCTAAATAAAAAGGGGAGGGGAGGACTAATTAAATGAAAGATTTCGATAAAGTAAAAAATTAGAATCGCAATAAAAACTAGATAAAATATTCAAATTGTTTATATAAAATTAATAATAAAAGCGGATGTGTGCTGTGGCCAAAGCTAAAAGGGCTCCTTTTAACTCTTGGGCCCTGAGGCATTGCCTTACTTTGCTATATGGTAGCTACGCCACTGCTCTCATTTAAAAATAAACTTAAAGAAATTATTTTGTCTCTGGATGATGTATTTTTGAATTTTTCAACGTTTAATAATTTCATGTATTATTTGATGCTTTTATGCTGTCAAGTTATTATAGAGATATACAACTATATTTGATTATGATTTATTGAGATTGTAAATTACGAGCGGTTCTCGATGACAAGACCTGACGGTCTTCTGCGAGTCTTCGCGTTCTTTTTATAAGATTAAATACCTGCAAAACTATATTATTTTTTTATTATTTTTTTTATTTATTTATTTCGTCATATATAAGCATTTTACAATGTTCTCGTTTCCAAGTTTAATAAAATAAATCGAAATATAAAGAATGACAGAAGCAAGTAGAAGACATAAGTCTTGTCGTCAAGCCCCTACAATTTGGGTGATATATTTTTTACAAAGTATCCATAATATATAAAATATAATAATTTATATTCACTATATAAAGCAAGTTAAAATAACAATAATAAAATAAAATTTGCTAAATTAAATAAATAAAGTAAAGAAATTTAAAAAATTAGCCTTACAAGTTTTTTCTACAAAAAATAAATAATCATTTTTATAGCAAGTTAAAAATAGCTATACTATAATAAGACTTCTAAAGTAAAATATAGAATTAAAATATATATAATAATTATTTACATTTTTTTTTTGTGTCATTATCTCATTATTTACAAATACTCATTATATAAAGCAAATAAATATAAACTTTATTGTAATAAGATAAAAATACTTCAAAATAAAGTAAAAAGCTAAAAAAAAAAAAAAAAAAAAAAAACAAACAAATAAGTAAGTAACGTAAACAAAAATTAAATTTTAAAACTAAAAATATATAAAAGTATGTTTGTATCTGTTAAGTCAAGCGAATTCTGTTTAACTACATTTTTAAAAGATTGTATTAAGGTTATACTTTTCATTTTGTCGTCAAGAATTCTGTTCCATAGACGAGGTCCTCTATATGAAATTGAGTAATCTGTTTTTTTTTAATGTTGACTTAGGTAAATTAAAATTGTGAATAGAGCACCTCGTTAAGTAATTATGAGAAATAATTGAAAAATGATTGTTAAAGAATTTAGGTTGCATGTCGTTTTGATATTTAAACATAAATAATAGGTGTTGGTACAAATTTAACTCATAGAGAATTTAACTCATTATCTTTTACTTATTTCTTATTGTTTGATTTTATTATTTAAATGTTAACGATTTAATTGTACAACGATTTGCTAAAATGTTTCAACAAAAAAAAAAAAAAAAAAAAAAAATTTAATATTTGGACTTTTTTTATACTAAGATTCATCCCAGAAGACATTTGGTCCGAAAAAGACGTTTTTTAAACGTTCAAAAGACGTTGATCTAAATTTTAAATAAAAACAATAGTATTTTATAAAAAAAACTATGATTAAATTTCAAAAAAATTATATTATTTTTTTTTTTATTTAACTCATTTTTATTATAACAGTTATTCAGTTGGCTATCAATATAAAAAACATAATTCTTTATGTAAAAACCGCTATGTAACTATTTTGTTGGCACCGTTGCCAACATTTAAAGTCCATTTTACAATTTTTCTTAAATTTCTACCCATCTCTGATAGAAACAAGATGAGTGGCTGCCCAAAAACTACTTTTATTTATATTTTTTCAAAAAATACTTCGCGATTTCCAATGAACAAAAAGATAAACATTTAAATGTTAATCAGAGTTTGTTTTTTTTGGGTCCTTAAAATAAATCAAACCACGCGTCAGAAATTTTTTTTATCAAAAGATCCGGAACGACCACATTTTAATTAACTAGAAAAACTAAAAACTACAAATTTTGTCCGACATGTAAATTATTTATAAAGTGCACTCTACTATCACATTAGAAAACTAAAAAACTAAAATAATATAATTAATATATATATATATATATATATATATATATATATATATATATATATATATATATATATATATATATATATATATATATATATATATATATATATATATATATATATATATATAGTTTATATAAATTATTTATATATTATTCCAAAAATTAATTTTATTATCATTAACAGAATTCCCAATCTTGATGTTCTTTTGGGCGGCATGCAATCGGACACTTAACAATTTTTGCAGATCCATCCCTGATTTGTCCAACGAATTCTCCAGTTACGTCTCTTTTTGTGGGAAAAGGTTGACTTCTACTATCGCTTTCACACAAATAAGAACGTGTATTAACACTTAACACTCATACACTTTTCAATACATATGGTAGCTATTTTAATTCCTAGGACTCGGTTAAGTTCATTTCTGTAACACCACAAACCGCCCAAAATTGCTATATCATGTTGAGGATGATCTTTCATTGAATGAACCAGCTTATCTGATTCCAGCCAATTTTTTACAGCATCAGTTTTTCTTTCTAAAACTTTAGAGTCCAAATCTCTAATACACGCAACATCCACAGTTAAATCTGCAACTACTAAAAATCTCGACACCATTCCGTTAAAACTTGATAGAGCGTCAAAATTACCAACATTAAAAAACTCTAAATTTTGATAACGCTAAGTTAAGCTTGCAACAACAGTTGGTGTTATCGTGTACTTGTCATGATTAATTCGAACTATCCAGTTTTTATATAAGCTATTGTTTTCTGCCTCTTTTGCAACAAATTCAACATTTTGTCCGTACCTATCCCAGTCATTTCCAAACAATGAATAAGACAAAACGTTTCTATTTAACAACGTTTATGTGTAATGCTGTGAACAGAAAATTTTACTTTTTTGATTCTGAAACTCGGTAAATGATTAACACCAGTAAGCAAAGGAGAAGAGTTATCTTTAGAATTTTTAACATCTTTAGATCATCCATACTCTTCTGTTTATATCTAAAAAAAGACATAAAATAAAAATAAATGAAATTCATGGTATAGATATAAATAAAACTCATTTAAGCATTTACATACATTATTTACATAATAAAGCATAAATTAACTTGAAAAAAAAGAAAGTTTTTTTATAAAAAAAATTACCAGTAATTTATAATCTTTTATTATGGAGACATGGTTTTCGAAATTTTAACCTGGTAGGGC